ATTCTCCGTTTTCCAAGGGCAGAATAATTGATAATAGGGTTTTTGAAAACTTCTGCATTGGGAATCATTACAAGCTGACCCTGCAAGGTTTCTATTTGCGTGGTGCGCAGGTGGATGCTTACTACCTTTCCAAAATAGCTGTTGGTTTCAATAAGGTCATTTACCTGAAATGGCCTGCGGATGCTCATCATGGTACCCGCTATAAAATTGGAAGCAATATCCTGGAAAGCAAACCCCAGTGCCAAGCCAATTACTCCGGCACCCGCTAATAATGAAGTTACGGCCCCGTCTAATTCCAATACTGAGAGGGCAATAAAAGTTCCAATGGAAAGTGTGATAATGTATAAGATGCTGCTGATCAGCTTGCGTAAACTTTGGTTGTCCGTTATACGGCCCGTAAGTTTATACACCATCTTTTTGAGAAACTTGCCGATCATTACAAATGCCAGCAGTATAAGAATGGAGATAACAAGGTTGGGTAGCATTTTAACTGCCATTTCCAGCCAAACCTCCAGTTTTTCTGTAACCAGGTCGTAAGCCTTATTTACTCCAAAATCAATACTTGCCATAGTTTCCATATTCAGCTTATTCTTCTGTATCAGGACTGGTTTTAGAATTGGAATTCATCTTTTGAGCCAGCACATCGCTTAAAATATCAATTCCCATATTAAGGGCCACGTTGCGAACCCTTTCCTTAGGGCTCATGCCTGCCTGTCCACTATTCTTAAAAATATTTACCACCGTTTGAAAAGCCTGTATTCCGGATTCAATGGTGGATATACCATGTTTCATAATCTCAACGTCTGCCAATAACTTTTGCTTCTGGATTTCTTTTTCCAGTCGTAATTCCCGGATATACTCATCCAGCTGACGTTTACTTTTTATGCTCTTCTTTCTCACGGAGGTGTTTGAAAATGTGTTTGACAGCGGTGCTCACAAAAGGTTTTTCCAGAAGATGTTTTCTAAAAGTCACTAAAATGATAAGCGTGATAATGTAACCCAGAGAGGTTAAACCAAACCCCAGTAAATAGTTGTCAAAAACCTGAGATAGGTACAGGCCGGCAAAAATGCCAACCAATAAGGTTGAAATACAGCCGAAAACAAGTATAAACACAAAAGTGAAAATACTGCCAATAATCTTACTGCCTTCTTCTATAGCCTCATACTTGGCGTGCTCTACTTCCAACTGAACATACTTCTGAAGATGTTCGGAGAGTTGTTTTATATGTTTGGTTAGATCCATCTGATAAAAGAAATGCCGGCCATTCAGCCGGCATTTAATCTTTTAGGGTGCCTTACGCCTTTACACTTCCATTCTTTATTACGCGTTCAGCTGATTCTTTTACTTCTTTTAGTGAAGCTATAGTTTTATTAGCGGCATCGTTAATAGCATCTTTTGCATCATTGGCTTTGTCGCCTAACATATCTCTGGTATCCTTGCCACTGGCAGGAGCTAAAAGTATTCCGGCTGCAAAACCAATTGCTGCACCTAATAACGATCCTAAAATTACATTTCCTGATTGCTTACTCATGTTGTTTATATTTGGGGTTAACGAATTTTTAATTAATATTTTTTATTCAAACTATTCTTGGCATCCGCTTTTCGCAGAAATTCATCTACAGTTGAATCGGCATCCTTACCATACTTGGCTTTTAAAATACCCTTAACTCCATTTGAAGTTTCTAAACCTATAACCATCACAGACCGTGAATTGTTCTCTTTATCAGCTATACGATAAAGTTCAATTATAGATACATCAGTATATGAATAGGTGTGTTCCTGAGTATCATTCATATAGTGATCATCTTTTACTGAAAACTTCTCTTTAAAGCCTTTTTCTATAAGATCATCTTCTGCTCTGCTTACTTCAGAATAAGGGTTTTTTCGGGGACTGTTTAATTCCATAATTATTTAGCTGGTATAAATTTCAAACCACTCCTCAATCTCTTCATTGATCTGCTTCATTTCATCCTCCAGTTGCTCCAGCCCTTTATTGGCCTTGGCTTTCACGTCTTCATAAGAAGATTTGGATTCAGATTGAAGACTGTTTAAACGATTTTTAAGATCTGAATGGAGACGTTTCAAGTCGGCTTGAAGTTCATTGGATTTGGATCGGGCCTGATTATCCAATTCATCAAAACCTTCTTTAGTTTCCACTTGTAGTTCTTCAAGTTTTTCTTCCACGTACAGAAGGTTCTCAGAGATTCGATTCTTTAATTCAATACGGTTGGTTTCTGAAAAATTTTCAGGAGAACCCGGGTTTTTCCCGGCTGAACTCTGAGTGAATTCATCATTTCTATTGGAATTAAATTCGCTGGAACAAGCCCAACCAAAGCATAGAATTAATAAAAAAAACAGTAAGGATTTAAATTTGAAATACATAGGGGTTAACGTTTAGCTCTCCAGGAAACTGCGCAACATCCAGGCACTTTTTTCATGAACGGACAGTCTGGCCACCATCATATCTACAGTTACCTCGTCATTAATCTCGTCAGCGGTGTTAAGTGTTTCGCGAAGTTTTAAAATTAAACTTTCGTGGGTTTCAAGCAGGTCAGCCGCCATTTCCAGGTCAGAAAGACCACTTTTAGCTTCTTTTACGCTACTGATTTTATTGAAAGAACTGAAAGTTCCGGGAGCTTCAAAACCCAAAGCCCGGATGCGCTCTGCTACATCGTCAATAGCTTCAAATAATTCGGTGTATTGTTGTTCAGTTAAATCATGCAAAGATTTAAAGAGAGTACCTTTCACATTCCAGTGGTAAAAATGCGTTTTTAACATTAACAGATAACTGTCAGCTAAAACACCGGCTAGTTGATCTGAAACTTTTTTGCGACCAGCCTCGTCCAAACCTGTATGTAATTCTATCCTGCGGTGAGAATTTGAAAAGTTCACTTCTTTTAATTCAACCTTTTCCATTGTAGCGATTTTATTGGTTTAACTTGGTGTGAATAAGATGTTATTTGGTAAGTAATGGATTTCCTTGTATTGCATAACCATACCATAAATCAGACTTGTTATTTAAAATGCTGATTTTTAGAGTTTTGAAAAAAAATACTGGAAAGGCTAAACTAAATGGCCGGTTTTTTATTTCACTTTTGAAAGGAAGCATTTTCAAAATGGAAGAGCATAATTATCATTTGCATATTACGGGTAAGGTGCAAGGCGTGTTTTACCGGAAGAGCACCCGGGAGGTAGCCACTGCATTAGGCTTGAAGGGCTGGGTGCGCAATGAGCCTGACGGCAGCGTGAAGGCAGAAGTGTACGGCAACAGGGAAAGCTGCCTCAAGCTAATAGATTGGTGTCATAAAGGCCCGCCTGCTGCGCGAGTAGATGCTGTACGAGTAAGTAAAATACCTTTTCATAAATACGATTCCTTTGAAGTGATACGGTAGTGGTGGCTTTTGTAAATTTGCCGCAATGGATTCAAATCGATTAAAGAAAGTAAACCGTCTACTACAGCAAGATCTGTCTGAAGTTTTCAGAAGCATTGCTCAGCACAAATTTAAAGGAGTACTTATCTCTGTTTCGCTTGTAAAAGTTACTCCGGACCTGGGTCTGGCACGGGTAGCGATAAGTATTTTTCCATCAGAAGCGAAGGATGAAGTGTTGGAATGGGTTAAGGAACAAAAAGCGTACATCAAAGATCAGGTGGTTCAACGTCTTAAAGGGCAGTTAAGGGTAATGCCTGACCTGCAGTTTTTTCTGGATGATAGCGTGGAGTATCGGGACGATATAGACCGTTTGCTTCGTGGTGAAGGTGAAAGTCCTATTAGTTGAACCTGACCAATTATATAGCACGCAGATATTTTTTCTCCCGGAAATCGGGAAATGCTGTAAACATCATTTCAGCGGTATCCATGCTGGGAATTATGGTAGGTACAGCCGCTCTCATAATAGTATTAAGTGCATTTAATGGTTTGGAATCTCTGGTAAAGGGCTTCTATCAGACCTTTGACCCTGATCTTAAAGCCACACTTGCCGAAGGGAAATATTTTGACACCAGCCCTTCTTTTATAGAAGAACTCAGGGGTATGGAGGGTGTTGAAGAGGTGTCCGCTGTTTTGGAAGACCGTGTATTGCTCACATTTAACGATAAGGAGTATATAGCCACCCTTAAAGGAGTGGATGATAATTATACCGTGGTTACCGGTATTAAAGAATCTATAGTAGCCGGAGCGTATGATCTAAAGGAGGGTCAGGAAATACCCACCACCATTATGGGAGCCGGAGTGGCTTATTTTTTAGGGTACAGCCGGGTGGATTTTGAATCGCCCGTTTCTGCTTTTGTACCGCGTGAAAAATCAGGTTTGGACTTTAGTACGGCTTTCGCTTCTGATTTAATTTACCCTTCCGGAATATTTTCCATTCAACCGGATTTTGACGAAAAGTATACGCTCACCTCATTGAGTTTTGCGCAAGACCTGATCGGTCGTTCCGAAGCAGTTACGGCTTTTGAGTTCCGTTTGGCGGAAGGAGCCTCAGCTAAGCGCGTAAAATCAGCAGTTGAACAAAAGCTGGGCTCTGCCTTCAAAGTTCAGGACCGGGATGAACAACAGGAAGTGTTTTTTAAAGTGATGAAGAGTGAAAATCTCTTTACTTTCATTGTATTTGCCTTGATCCTTGCCATCTCTACTTTTACCATTATGGGAAGCCTTACCATGCTTATGCTGGATAAAAAGGAAAACCTGTTTACCCTTTGGGCTATGGGCGCTCCACTGGAAATGCTGCGTCAGATTTTTTTTAAAGAGGGTTTGCTGATAAGTCTGGTGGGAGCGTTTACCGGCTTATTCCTTGGAACACTCATCATTTTTCTTCAGGAGAATTATGGTATTCTTTCCCTGGGGCCGGGTTATGTTATAGACTCTTACCCCGTACGTTTAAAAGGGAGTGATCTTGCATTGGTGTCGTTAACCGTTTTTGGTTTAAGCAGTATTACTTCATGGTTAACTTCCAGAAGGCTGAGTTATGAGCTGTTTGGTGCAGCAAAGGCTCCGGCACTTTAGGCCAGTACACTGTCCACACCCTGAAAGCGTTTCTCAATTTCGTCCAGCAATGCAAAAACAGCCTCCGGTTTTTCGGTGGTAACCAGCTGGGTGCGGTATTCTTTAAAATGGGGGATGCCCTTAAAATAATTGGTATAGTGCCTGCGGGTTTCAAATATACCCAGCTTTTCACCTTTCCATTCAAGAGCCATTTTCAAGTGCTTTCGGCAGGCATTTACCCGCTCCGCCATTGAAGGAGGGCCTAGTTTTTCACCGGTGGCAAAAAAGTGTTTTATTTCATTAAATATCCAGGGGTAGCCTATACTGGCGCGGCCAATCATAATACCGTCCACGCCATACCGGTTTTTCATCTCCAGTGCTTTCTCCGGTGTATCCACATCTCCATTTCCAAATACCGGGATATGAATACGGGGGTTGTTTTTTACTTCGGCAATAAGGCTCCAGTCAGCCTGGCCTTTATACATTTGTTTACGGGTACGGCCGTGGATAGAGATCGCCTTTATACCCACATCCTGAAGGCGCTCAGCCACATCAACTATATATTTTGTATTATCGTCCCAACCCAGGCGCGTTTTAACGGTAACCGGCTTATTCACAGCTTTTACTATTTCGCTGGTCATGGAAACCATTTTGGGAATATCCTGTAAAATACCGGCTCCGGCTCCCTTGCAGGCTACGTTCTTTACAGGGCAACCGTAATTAATATCAATAATATCAGGATTGGCTTCTTCAGTAATAGCTGCTGCTTCCCGCATAGATGAAATTTCATTACCAAAGATCTGTATACCTACCGGGCGCTCATATTCAAAAATATCCAGCTTCTGAACACTTTTGGCAGCATCACGGATGAGTCCTTCGGAAGAGATGAACTCGGTATACATTACATCGGCACCGTTCTCCTTGCAAAGAGCACGGAAGGGTGGATCACTGACATCTTCCATGGGGGCCAGTAATAAAGGAAACTCACCTACTTCAATTGAATCGATCTTAACCAACTATTCCTCTTATTTTTGATGTCGCAAAAATACTAAATCTTAACCGGCTCTATGAAAGGCAGTTTAATAGGGGAAAGCCCCTGGTACCAATTGTTCATGGTGTTTGTTCTGGCTGTAGCGGGAACGTTTGTTTTCCTGGCTCTGGGTATCCTCCTGGTGCCGGCCTTTTTTCCTATATCGTTAGAGGATATGGTGGCCTTATTACAGGATATGGGTAATCCGGGCGGTACAGAAATCCTGAAATTTCTTCAGGGCTTTAACACCATCGGTACTTTTTTGGTTCCCGGTCTTTTAGGAGCATACCTTCTGTCCCGATATCCATCAGACTATTTACAGATCAATGATTTCCCCCGAAAAGGATGGATGGTGGTTTTAAAGGTAGTGGTATTAACCCTTAGCGGAACACTGATTTCAGATGTTTTATACCAGTTTAGTGCTGAGATCACTTTTCCGGATTTTATGCAATGGCTGGAACCTTATCTGCGGGAAAGTGAAGAACTGGTGGCCGAGCAGGTCAAAGCTTTTCTGCAAATGGAAACCTTTCTGGATTTTCTCAAGGTATTTATGATTATGGCGGTACTCCCTGCGGTATGTGAGGAAACGCTTTTCAGAGGAGTTGTTCAGCCTCTGTTTGTCAAAGGTTTCAGGAACGTCCATATCGGTATTATTATTACATCGGTGGTTTTCGGCTTACTGCATCAGCAGTTCAACAGCTTTTTATCCATTACGGCTTTGTCCATAGTTTTAGGTTATCTCAAGGTTTGGAGTAAAAGCCTGTGGGTGCCGGTGCTCATGCACCTTTTTAATAATGGAACCATTGTTATAGCCGTGTACTTTTTTGAAATGCCTTTAGAGGAGGTAAATACTTCAGCTTCGGAATGGCAAGACACCTGGTTTTGGCCCGGGATACTTGTTTTTACAGCTTGCCTTTTCGGGCTTTGGTACCTTATGAGCCGATTATCCTCAGGCAATCGTCAAAATTTATCAGATCAGTAATTGAAATCTACCGGCTCCGCTTCGGATATTTTTTGTGGATACAGCTTCTGAATTTCAGCCTGTTCTGTTTTGAAAAGCTGGTTGTAGCCACGGCCATATTGATTGACCGCTTCACGTTCCCTTAATTCATTATAGGCCGCAGTGAGCTCATTTTGAACAGCTACATACAAACGGTAAGGGGTATCCCGGTCATTCTGAATAGAGATGACCGCTTTTTGTGGGTTTTCCGATAGGTTACCGGCCTGTGAACCCTGGCAATAGGAACAGCTGCCATCTCCATTATTATCCAAAAAGAGGATGGCGGCTTCCCGCAGGTTTTGAACAGGAGTTTCCTGGTCTTCTACCATGAGTTTCCCCCTGGCATTGATCAGTACACTGAAAAGGTTTCGTTGCCTGACAGGTTTATCGGGAGGAGTGGGAGAGTCTTGGATTGGAGGAAGTTTTCGTTGTATACCACCATCTACGTCCATGGTGGTGGTTACTAAAAAGAAGATCAACAGCAGAAAGGCTATATCAGCCATTGAGCCAGCGTTGATCTCAGGACGGGGGTGTTTTCTCCAGGCCATAGGATGGGGTTTTATTAAAAACGGGATCTATGGCCAGAATAGTGTGCCGGGCAAAGTTATTAAACAACAAAGGCCGCTGAAAAGCGGCCTTTGGGAGAACTATATAATCAGCACTTTCTTATTCGTCTCCATATACCTCCCCCTTGCGGGTGGAGTAGTTAATTTTTAAGGAATTTGCTTTACGCAGTTCCTGTTTAATGTCTGTGATCAATCCCATTTTTACGTCTTCATCCGCTTTAATGGAAACCGTCATCAGTGGTCTTTCTGCTTCATTGATCGCTTCACGCTCAGTAATCACGTATTGCTGGATCTCATTTACCCTGGCAAAGGCATCATTCAACTGAATACGTGGCTCTGCACCCACTTGTGGAATGAATTGCTTTTTAGGCTTACCTACGTAGATGTAGGTTACCAGTGATTTACGTTCCAGCTTTTTGATCTCTGTAGCATTGGGTTTTGTATTCTCCACCAATAGGGTAACTTCACGCATTACAGTGGTTACCATGAAGAAGAATAAAAGCATAAATACAATATCAGGCAGCGATGCTGTTGAAATTGCGGGTGTACCCCCCCCGGTTTTCTTTTTAAACTTTGACATAATCTAGCCTCCTAAGTTTACAGGTTCTGCTTCAGAGATTTTTTGTGGATATAGATCCTGGATCTCATCTTGCTGCTCTTCCGTAAGGTTATCGTATGTAATTCCGAATTTACGCTCGGCTTCACGATTCCTCAGGTCATTGTATGCAGCTGCCAGTTCATTCTGAACAGCGATATACAATTTATATGAGGTTCCACGGTCGTTTACTAAAGAAACGATGGCTTTACCTGGGTTATCCGAAGATTCAGGGTTTCTGGCCCCCTGACAATGTTGACAGGAACCGTCACCGTTGTTATCCAGAAATTTTACTGTAGCTGCACGAAGATCTTTAATATCCATATACTCATCCTCTACCAGAAGTCGATCATTTGAGTTTACCAAAACGGTAAAGATGTTCTTCTTTTTGATAGGGGGTGGGTCCTGAATCAGATCCGGCTCCCATGGCGGCAACTTCCGGTTGATCCCGGAGTCCACATCCATAGTAGTGGTTACCAGGAAGAAGATCAACAACAGGAATGCGATATCTGCCATCGAACCTGCGTTGATTTCCGGTATTGCCCTGCTGCTTCTTGCCATAATTATTTAAATAAACGGGTTACTTCAACGTAAAGTATACTCAGTATTGCCAATCCGGCCAGGATGTAAAATACCATCAGTCCGGCACCTACCTGGCGGGAAGTTTCTTCAGTAATCTGCAGTTTGGCAAATACCGGGTTCGTTACATCTGAACCGGTGCTAAGGCCAAAAGCCACACCTACTAAAACGGCCAGCCCCACAATACCGATCAGCGCACTTTTTGCGCCTCCCGGGTTTTTGGTGATGCGACCAATAGCAAAGAGCAGGATCATTACGATGCAGATCCCGATCAGTGCATAGGTTGCGTATAATCCGAAATCAATCATATTTTATTTCTTAAGCGTTGTGAGATTTGTACTTCACCAGTACATCGATCAAAGAGATAGAAGCATCCTCCATAGTGTTTACAATAGAGTCAATCTTCGCGATGATGTAATTGTAGAAGATTTGAAGTATGATGGCAACGATCAAACCGAATACGGTGGTTAAAAGAGCCACTTTAATACCTCCTGCTACCAGTGAAGGAGAAATGTCACCTGCTGCTTCAATGGCATCAAATGCATCAATCATACCGATTACCGTACCCATGAAACCAAGCATAGGAGCCAGGGCGATAAAAAGAGAGATCCATGAAACGTTGCGCTCTAAGAGCCCCATCTGCACAGAACCATAGGAAATGATGGATTTTTCAACCACATCAATACCTTCATCCATACGATCCAGGCCTTGATAGAAAATACTGGCTACAGGACCACGGGTGTTACGACAAACTTCTTTAGCCGCTTCTACACCACCGGTTTGAAGAGCGCTTTCGATTTCATCCAATAATTTTTTGGAGTTGGGAGTAGCCATATTGAGGTAAATGATACGCTCAATACAAATAGCCAAACCAAGGATAAGCGTGATCAGTACGATTCCCATAAACGAGGGACCACCTTCAATAAATTTTTCCTTTAAGATTTGGTGGAAAGACTTATCCTCTTCTATTTTGTCCACTTCAGGAGCCGCAGGTTTTGTTTTGTCTACAGAAGTAGCGGGCTTAGACTGAGCTTGTGCATTAGAGTCTGCTTGTGCTTGCTCCGTTGCAGCTGTATCATTGCCTTCCTGGGCAAAGAGGGTTACAGTTCCAAAGGCCATAAACATGCATACAGCCAAGATCGAAAGTGCTTTTTTCATTACTTGCTAGTTTGTTAAAAATTTTGGTGAAAATAAAAAACTCAGCACAAAGCTAAAGTATTCTAGTCATCTTTTTTATGTGGTAAAGGGGCTTTCACGTTAATCAGTTGAAAATAATATGCACACATAGCAACTTGCGCTTACCCTAAGTAGCTATTTATACAGGATGATAGACAAACAAATACAGAAAGGCTGCCTCCTTTGTAAATTTTTCTATTTTTGCGCATCCAAATCCGGAGAGGTGCCTGAGTGGTTGAAAGGGCCCGCCTGGAAAGCTGGTATACGGGCAACCGTATCGAGGGT